GGTACAGAGGCGCTGAGAAGCAGGCACCCGTGCCGCCTGCGCCCACTCATCCTTTATGTGCTCTTTTTGTCCCTCCCCAGCCCAGGCTCGCGAAGAGAGGAAGGGCCCCTCCCGCCGCCGTGCTGACTCTGTCTTGTTGTATAATTCTGCTGCTGGCCAGAGGTTGAGGCTGGAAGCCCAGGGGCCAGGACGCGGGCTTCAAATTGTCTCACCAGTCTTGCCAGCATCGCTTGTCTGATCGGGCCCTCGATTTTCTCGTTGTCCCTGTTTGCTCGGTTCGGTCCCTCGCTCGGCTCTGTCGGGTCCTGGTCCGTCCCTCGTTTCTTTCGGCCCCTCTTCGGGCCCCTCGCTCGTCGTTTCGGCGCCACGGGCAGGAGTGTTCGGCAGACGATCACCCGCGCGCAAATCAAACAACAAAAAAAAACATCCTTTATCCCTCATCTCCCCTTCTCCTTTCCCCGTCGTCGTTGTCGTCGTTGTCGTCGTCGTTGTCGGCGTCGTGTTCCTCCTCTCGTCTCCCTCGTCCTCGTCATTGCATTTGCAAGGTGCCTCACCCACGGACAGAAGGAGGGAGGAGGGAGTTGGGAGGAGGGAGGGGGCGATGGAGGTGGGGCCAGGCCGGAACGCCCTGTTTGATTACATTTCTGTTGTCGGCTCGTGCCCCAGGAGAGGTCTAGGCACTCCTTGGGCCCGAGACGGGGAATGGCCTCGTCTTCGTCGTCCTCATCCTCCTCCCCTCGATGTCCTCGTGATACACACTTCTGTTCCTGGCCAGACACGCTGTGGTGCTCGCGGGCCACTGTGGTGCTCGCAGGCGCGCGGTCTGCCTTCAACCAGCGGCCTTTCCATTGCACCTCTGCCTCTCTGGGACACTGTAACTCAACAAGACGGGACATTTGTCCGGTGCGTTTCTTATTCCCTACCTAGGCTCTGCTTAGAGGGTTCTTACCCTCTTTCTTAAAGGGGCCCGGCAGTGTAATTCGCCCTGGGCGGTTCCCCCGGCATCCGCCCCGCGGTTCCCCCAGTTACGTCCCCTTAGCTTAGCGTTGCCTATCTCATCTTAGCTTAGCCCAGCTTAATTTAGCTTAGCTTAGCCTGGCCTAGCCTAGCCTAGCCTAGCTTAGCTTAGCTTGGCTTAGCTTAGCTTGGCTTGGCTTGGCTTGGCTTGGCTTGACTTAGCTTAGCTTAGCTTAGCCTAGCCTAGCCTAGTTTAGCTTAGCTTAGCTTAGTTTGGCTTGCCTTAGCCTAGCTTAGCTTAGCGCAGCATAGCGCAGCATAGCGCAGCGCAGTATTAGCACAGCATAAGATAGCATAGCCAATCGTAGCATATCATAACATAACATAGCATAGCATAGCTCGTCATGTCATAGCATAGCAAAGCAAACCAAAAGCAACACCAACGCGAACGTGTAGATGTAGATGTAGGTGTAGGTGTAGATGTGGATGTATGTGTAGATGCAGATGTAGTTGTATATGTAGATGTAGGTGTAGACGTAGGTGTAGATGAAGATATAGATGTGAGTCCCGCTGTTGATGTTGATGTAGATGTATATGCAGGTGTAGATGTTAATGTAGCTGTCGGTGTAGATGTAGATGTTGCTTTCCTAGATGCTCCAACTCCTAGGTAGGGTCGCACTGGGATAATCCTGTTAGCTGTATGCACACGACGTGGCCAGCCTGGGCGAGAGTTGGGTCCACATCTTGCCGCATTACGGGGTTCGGCCCTCCTGTGGAAGCACGCCAGCCATCCGCACGTGCATCCAGCAACTGGCCTCCGCATGTTCCGCATGTGTTGCCAGCCGCGCGTGCTTCGCGTGTGTTTCCAGCCTCCTGGAATGCTTAGGACACCCAGCCAGCTTGAGATTCTCGATCTAACAGTGCGCTGCTAGCAAGGTTGCGTTGGAATTGGGCCACGTGTAGCCATCTCATGGGTTTCCGCCATTCGGCGCGCCCCCAGTGCGCCCCGGCGAGGTGTTGCGCACGCTGTTGTGAACTGAAGCACTTTGCAGCGCAATGAGGAATGGGACGACGAGAGGAGGAGCACGAGGAAGAGGCAAGAGGGAGGGCGACGACGACGAGGAGGCCATTTCCCCCCTCGGACCAAGGGGCGGCCAGCCCCTCCCAGAGCGCGAACCTGCAACAGTGGTACAATCAAACACGTTTCTTCGGCCGGGGCCCGCCTGCGTCGCCTCCTCCGTCCTCTCGGCTCCCTCCTTCGTTCTGTTGGTTTGGCGCGAGGCCCCTCGCAATGCTATGAGGAGGACGAGGACGACGAGAGGGGGAGGAGGAAGAGGAGCAGGAGGCGGAGGAGGGAAGGGAGACGATACAGCAAAACCATGCACTAGCCTCTGCAATGCCATACGCTACGCTGAGCCGTGCCCATCACTTGCTGGTCTTTGCATATCCATAGCATGGTGTACGCCCTGCCGTGGCAGATCCCAACAGGTATATGTTATTCGAGATCTCTTCGCCATTCCTAGGCGTTTCCCGACGGCGCAGGTACGAATTCTGAAGTTGCCAGGGGGGGCGGGGCCGGTCATGGCCGCTGTCGTGACAATTCAACACAAACGCTCTCAAGAGCAGGAGGAGGAGGAGGAGGAGGGGCGAGGGAGAGAGAGAGAGAGAGGAGGAGGAGGAGCCATACACCCTCCGTTTCAAAGCCCCATCCTTAGCAGTCACTAGAAGTAGTTATCTAGTGGCATTCGACTTATCCCGCCACCGTGCCTGGGTTGTGGGTTAGAGGCCTCTTGGATGTTCGTTTGGGTATCGCGGGAGGCCTCTCGGGGGCCTCTTGGAGGCAGTTTTGAAGCCTCTTGGGGGCCGTGTGAGGGCCTCTTGGGGCCTCTTTTTGGGTCTCTTGGGGGCCTCGTGGGGCCTCTAGGGTGCGTCTTGGGTTTGCTTTGGGGCCTCTTGGGGCCTCCTGGGGGCCTCGTGGGTCGGAAGGCTTGAGTTGTCGGTTCGTCTTCCCTCTCTTGGGCCCCTATTGGGGCCCTCTTGGGCGATCTTGGGCGCCTCTTGGGCCGTTTTGGGGCCCTCTTGGACCGTCTTGGGGCCCTCTTGGGGGCCTCTGGGGCCATCTTGGGGCGGTCTTGGGGGCCTCTGGGGCCATCTTGGATCGTCGGAAGCTCGAAAACGCGAGACTGAGAAACACATAGAACAACACACACGGGGCATCAATGCTGTTTGCCTCTTTGGGCCCTTCTGGGGGTCCTCTTGGAGCGCTCTGGCTCTTGGGGCTTCTTCGGGGCCTCTTGGGCAGTATTGGGGCCATCTTGGGCGTCTTGGAGCGCTCTTAGGCTGTCTTGGAGGCCTCTTGGGCCCTCTTGGGCGCTTCTTGGGCCCCTCTGGGCCCGTCTTGGGCCCCCATGGCCTCTTGGAACAGTCACGCGAGGCAGCCCAGGAGCGGGCGGGCGTGCTCAGGAAATGTGAACATATGTGGCCCCAGCCCCTAGAATACTAGAGTCCCCCAGTCCTGAGTACAGAAATCACAGAGCACATGAGAGCCTGGGGGTAACTCCCCTTCGTGCCTCGAGGTATGGTGGCGGATTCTTCTGCATTGCGGGAAGCGCCTTCTTTGACAGACGAGCGCTCCGTTGGAACGTTTGTCAGGCAAGACCTGGTTTGGCAAGGACCCCTAGGAGGAAGGGGAGGAGGAAGAGGAGGAGGAGGAGGAGGACAGGGAGGGAGGAAGGTGAGGAAGTATGTGGACGGAGGAACGAGGAGGAGGAGGAGGAGGAGGAGGAGGAGGATGAGAGAGGAGGAGGAGGAGGAGGAGGAGGAGGAGGAGGAGGAGGAGGAAAACGGGGAGAGGAGGTTGTGGGGGAGGCCGAGGAGGAGAAGGATGACAAGGAGGAGCAGCATCAGCGGAGCAAGCTGACCTTCAGCATGGCCCAGGCCCCCGACGTCGTGGCTGTTCGCAGAAAGTGCGCAGACCCCTACAGGTCTGAGCACTGTTTTCCCCCAGGAGGGGGAGGAGGAGGAGGACAGGGAGGGAGGAGAGTCAGGAAGGATGCGGACGGAGGGGGGAGGAGGAGGGGGAGGAGGAGGAGTAGGAGGAGGGACACGTATGAGCAGGAGGAGGATGGCGACAGGAGGTGGAGGGAGGAAGGGGGCGTGGATGGACGAAGAGGAGGAGGACACGTAAGAGGAGGACGAGGAGTAGGAGGAGGAGGAGACGGAGAACAAGGAGGAGCTCGAGGGATGGACCTTGACCTTGACCTGCACCGCTCTCAGGTTGGGCCTCCTGGGGCGCCGCTGTCGCTACGGCTGGATCCGCCTGGAAATCCTGACCAGAACGCAGCCCAAGAGAGATCCAGGGGATTATGCGGGAGGGGGAAAGATGGGGGGTGGGCAGGACGAGAAGGAGGATGAGCAGGAGGCATGCGCAGCCCATGCTGATTTCATCGATCCGATTCGATATCGATGTCGGCCAGCCCAGTCCGAGCTGTTTGCGACATTCCGACGTTGCGATGGTTGCCCACTGCTTGCATGGCGATGTCGTGCACGCTTGCGTGGCCGATTCGATCAGCTTCTGGCTCCGTGCCGATGCGGCCCGATTCGATGTTCCGACCCGATCCGACTTACCCATTCGATGTTGATCGTTCATGGCATGATGATCACACCAGCAGCAAGAGTGAGGAGGGAGGAGGGACGCGGAGGAGCAGGAGAACGGGGAGAGGAGGTTGTGGGGGAGACCGAGGAGGAGAAGGATGACAAGGAGGAGCAGCATCAGCGGAGCAAGCTGACGAGTCAGGACGGAGCAGTACCTTCAGCATGGCCCAGGCCCCCGACGTCGTGGCTGTTCGCAGAAAGTGCGCAGACCCCTAGAGGTCTGAACACTGTTTTCCCCCAGGACCCCCTCTTCGTCCTGAGGCGTTGGCTGGCGGCCACAGGGTTCGGCGAGGGCCCCTGGAGGCCGAGAGCGTGGACAAAATCCGCCCGTCGTGTGTGTGCGTGTAACACCAGCAGCAGCAGAGGGGGGGGAGGGGCGGGTCCGCCAGGCCGCCTCTGGGCCAGACCTCGTCTCGAGGGGCGAGGAGCGGGACAAGCTAAGGCGCGCGATGAGGCGCACGCGGGCCAGGGGCGGGGTGAGCAGCAGGGCGGAAGAGCAGCGGCAGCAAGGGGGCAGCCTGCTCCCTCTCTCTCTCTCCCGCCTCCCTCCCTCCCTCCCTGCTCTCTCCCTGCTCCCTCCCTTCTCCCTCCTCCCTCCCTCCTCCGTCCCTTCTCCCGCCCTTCTCCCTCCCTTCTCCCCTCTCCCCCCCCTCCCCCCTCCCTCGGAGGAGGAACAATGGTACAGGTGCCGCTGCTCGTCCTGGAGAGCCCTCGCCGCCACGGCCGGCTTCTCCCCGACCGTCTGGTCAGACGGCACGCCCGAAGAGGGCTGGGGAGTGGCGGTGTGGGTGCTTTTTTGCCCCCCGCCCTCTCCCTCCTCCTCCTCCTCCTTCCCCGTCCTCGTCCCCCAGTGTGTCGTGCAGATTCTTCGTTGGTCACGGAGGGCCTTCTGGCCCTCGGCGGGTTGTCGTTTCCTGCTCGGCGGAAGCCAGCGGCAGGCTGGCGGAAGTTGGCGGGTGGAGAGTGAGGGCGTACCCGGCGGTGGAAAGCTCGCAGAAGCCTGGGGAAGGAAACACATCGTGGATCCAAGAGTCGATCACATGGGGATTCACGAGTCGACCTTGGCAGCCATTCTTGGTGACTGCGCTGCCCACTCTCCCTCCTCGTTCCGGCTCAGACTCATAATGGCAACGCGATTTGATTCGCCGGGCCAGTTGAGGCGTGAGATGTGCGCGGTTGGTCGGAGGCGTTGTTTCCCAACCATTACGTATGTGGTGTTGGGTCTTTGTTTTGAAGAGATAGTGCCCCGCGTCTCCTTCATCCAATTCGTCCCGTTGTTTGCAAGGGATTATCGCGACAACAGTCGCGCAAGGTCGTCCGAATGATTTCGACATGGGCGCGCGAGGGGCACTTTTGGTAGCATTTGATGCAAGTGTTGGTAGTATTTGATGCAAGTGTTGAAATCTCATTGCTTCCTTTTAGAATTTGCAAGGGCGCGAGCGCAGGCATTTGCAACATTCCTGTTGCGACACCGTGTTTTTTTCTCATATGTTCGGAACACTCGATTTTGAAATCCTTATGGCATCTACTGTGTTTGAAGGATTGCGGCACACGCGCCAGACGATGCGAACGTGTGCACGTCGCCCCTTTTTGTTGGCAGGGGGTTCTGAAAACTCGTGATTGGTGATCAGCGAGTGTGCGCGCATAGTTGTTTGCAGAGGTTGGACGGGGGGTCGATAAGGGACTGCTTGGGATGGTATGTGTTCATCTTTCGGATGGACGAGTTTGGAGAAACGTATACGACAGCATTTCGGAAACACCGAGCGTTAAGTCTGGGGGGGGGAGTACATCCGATTTTCCCTTTGAACGCAACACATATATATACATTTATATATGTATGTATATATAAACATGTGCGTGCATGTATGTATGTATGTATGTATGTATGTATGCATGCATGCATGCATGCATGCATGCATGCATGCATGCATGTATGTATGTATGTATGTATGTATGTATGTATGTATGTATGTATGTGTGTGTATATATATATATAGATTCCTCTTCCTGTATTTTTATATGCCCGGGCGGGGGGAAAACCCATCCCCCCCCCAAAAACCGGACTCCCGGGATCTGGGGCTTTGGGACCCTCCGGACGGGCCTCGAAGCGGCCCCCCTGGCCTCGCAGGGCGTTTTGCCAAGCCTTCCCAGCACATCTAGGGCGATCAGGGGGGTCATCGGAGACGTCTCAGAGACCCCCATGACAGCGCAAGAACGCTCCAAGAGTGACCGACGTGACCTCAAGATGGCCCAAGAAGCCTCCAGGACGGCCCCAAAGAGGCATCCAAGAGCACTCCCTAGAGCCTAGAGGCTAAAATCATTGATTTTCTGATATTGTTTGGTGAATTTTGGGGTTCTCCTCTTTTCGGCTTCCCGACGCTCCAAGACGGCGGTCTTCTGGGCGTCCGAAGCCGCCTGGGAGGCTCCCAAATCGCCCCACAACCATCCGAAGGGGCTTCCAGGCAGTCCAAGAGAGCCCCAAAACGGCACAACACGGGTCCAAGATGGCCCTCAGAGAGCCCCATGGCGGCCCAAGATGGCCCCAAGACACCCTCCGAAGCATTCCAAATCGTGACCTGGTCGTTCAGGGAGACCGTGGTTGGAGGCAGGGTGGCCCGAGGAAGCCCCCAGAGGCCCCCAGAATACGCCCAGGAGGCCTCCAGAAGGCCTTAAGAAAGCCTAACACCATGTTTTTTAGGCCCCCAGAGGCTCTCCCAGGAGGAGCTCCCGCAACAAAAAGCTGAGGAGGATAGGGAGAAAGGGCAGGGTATGGCGAACATGAGGAAAAAGAAGCATGGAGGAAGGATAACGAATAACATTATCATAGCGGCGATGCCGGAAAAGGCAACAAGGAGTTATCGCTAAATTGTCGGCTTGACCTCCTGCTATTCCGCTTGCATGCCAAACTTCAAGGACCAAGGTGCATGGCGCGAAGCGCCACTGCGGTCTTGTATATATATATATATATATATATGTGTGTGTGTGCTGCCAGCGTGGTTCAAAGTATGTGGTGGAGTCTTTGTTGGGGCGACGGGGCGGCGCCGGGGATCACGGAGCCGCCAGACCGACCCCCAGGCCCAGACGATGGGCGGCGACGGAGCGGCGACGGCGACCACGGAGCCCACAGACCGAGCCCCAGGTCCAGACGACGAGCGGGGGCGGGGCGGCGACGGGGCGGCGACGGCGACTGCAAAGTCGCCAGGCCGACCCCGCGCCCAGCTCCTCAGACGACAGCCCGAGGCGGGCACGATCGTAGACGAAGGGGGTGGGTATCGAGGGCTTGGGATACAGATGATGGTTGACACGCGAACTGGCAAGAGAGAACAGAGACAAAACTATTGAATTGTCAGTTCAGAAGAGTGGTGATTGTTGATCCCCACTCTGGTACCCATGCTCTTTTTTCAATTGGAGTGCCCCTCCTGGGGCTCGCACCATGAAAACTATGGAAAGTCTTGGGCCTCAGACTGGGTTGGTGGCCCCCGAACTTCCACAGCAATGGCTCCCACCTGATATCTCCCCACTCGCCATTCAGAATCGCGCTTTCGCGCGGAACCCTCCTCACAATGTATCACGGAACCGCGCTCTCGCGCGGGGCGCATCCACGATGAGTGCAGACGCCACGCCCCCCAGTCTCAGGAATCACGCTCTCGTTCTGGACTGCCTCGCGGCTCACGTGGGAGTCGCGCCCTCGCTACCCGTCTCTCCACGCCTCATGCGGGACTGACTCCTCGGCGACCCGCCCGCTCGACCGGGCCGCCTGGGCCCGCCCGCCCGACCCAGGGTCCGGCCGCCCGACCTGCCCGTCTGATGCTGTCGCCTGCTCTCGTGTTCGGAGCCCCCCCTTCCTGCCAGTCTCCCTCGTGCTCCATCCCCATCTCTCTCCCTCTCGTCCCTGCCATCCTCCCTCCCTTCGCCTGTCTTGGGAGCTGCGCCGACTACACGTGGCGGGTAACTGAGGAGGAAGGTCTACCCCCAAGGGGGCCACGATCGAAGACGAATTGGGCGGGCATCAGGGGTTCGGGGTCTGCGTTTTAAGCGGCACGCGAGCAGCTACGAGCGAGCAATCTCAAATTGATTGTGGCAGAGCTCATTTCTGAACGACAACTGTTGCTGATACCCCACTCCAGTGCCCATTGAAGTTGTTTCAATTGGAGTGCCCCTCCTGGGTCTCACACCGTGCTTGTTCCAAGAGGAAGTCTTGATGTTCAAACTGCGTTGTGGGCGCCCGAGCTACCACAACAACGGCTCCCGCCTGAGACTTCCCCATTCACTATTCAGAATCGCGCTTCCGCGCGGGACTTCCTCGCAATGTACTGCGGAACCGCGCTCTCGTGCGGGACGCCCTCACGATTTATTCATACGCCGTGCCCCCGACATTCAGGACTCATGATCATGATTTGGTCTTCCTCACGAGCCATTTCTTGGGGGCCGCTGTGTTGCTCAAAACTTCTTCGCGATTCATGCAGGCTTGAAGCTTCAGCGACCCGCCCGCTCGAACCCGCCGTCTGGGCCCGCCCGCCCGACCAGCCCGTTACGGTCCGCCCGCCCGACCCACCCGTCTGGTTCTGCCGTTTGCTTTCTTGCTCCTGACCCCCTTTCTGCTGATCTCTCTCGTGCTCAATCCTTCTCTCTAACCCATGTCCCTTTCCTCCTTCCTCCCCTCCCCTGATTTAGGGGCTGCGCCAGCTACACGTGGCCGATAAGGAAAGTATGCCCCCAAATGGGGGTACGATCGAAGACGAAGAGGGCGGGTACAGTCAAGACGCTGAAATAAGGAACAGGTTGGGTTTAGAAGGGGATCCATGTTCCTTTGGTCCTTCCGCAGTTGTTTCTCTAGTTCTCTTCGTGCACCTGGGCGCTGCTGGCGCCCCAAAATGGTTTCGTTCCTTACTTTTCGTTTCCTCTATCAGCAGCCCGACTGTACCGAGGGTTCGGTCTATATATGTACATGTTGAGTGACACGTGGGCAGATAAGAGCGAACAGGATTCAATTGCTTGCTGACGTGATCCTCGTGGTCGTCGTCGTCGTCGCCGTCGTCGTCGACGCCGTCGTCTTCGCCGTCGTCTTCGCCGTCGCCGTCGCCGTCGCCGTCGCCGTCGCCGTCGCCGTCCTCGTCGTCGTCGTCGTCGTCGTCGTTGTCGTCGTCCCCCCCGTGACCCCCCCGCGACTCCCCCGCGACTCACCTGCGACTCACCCGCGACCCACCCCGCGAAAAAACTTGCTACCCACCCGCGACCCACCCTGCGACCCACCCGCGACCTACCCCGCGGCACTCCCCGCGACAAACCCCGCGACCCACCAGCGACCCACCCCGCGCTCGCCCCCCACTCTCATCCGCAATTGTTGGGTGTTACGCACCGTTTTCCACCCGTGGTGTGGAACGATCCGCACGGTGTCGAAAGCATACGCCGAGGTCGGATGAGGTCGGTACTGCCCCGAGCTTGCCGCACGAGAGAGGCGGCGGAGGGCGACCCGGGCAGGTTCGGGAGGCATGTCGTGCAGGGGATAAGTCGGGGGAGGGTGGCGGAGGCGTTTGCAGCGGTGGGAGAGTAAAAGGAGGGGTAAGGGAGGAGAGGAGGAGGAGGGGAGGGGGCGGAGAGGAGGGGTAGGGAGGAGGAGGGGAGGAGGAGGAGAAAGAAAAGGAGGGGGAGGGGGAGGAGCCACTCCTGGGGTGAACTGAAATCCGCCAAGACGTCGCCTGCGCAAAGACGGCGCGGCGGGCCAGGGGCGTCGGTGCCCTGACGGGCCTGGGGCGGACCCCCCGAACTCTAGCGGTGGTCCCGCTGTGGTTCTTCGGGAACCTGGCATTCTGGGGCCGCGAGGGTGCGCCCGCTGGAACGGCGTGGATGTCGGTCCGCGTCGTCCTGCGGGTACCTGCTCCTGCGGGCGCAGGCCCCAGCCACTTGCCAGCCACTGTATTGACCCTCCCGTCACGTCGCGGGGCAAGGACGTGGCTGGGGGGGTCGGCCTATGGGCACGGCTCAAGGCGTAGTCCCACCCGACCCCTTTTGGGCAAGGGGGTCTGCGGGGGTGGGCCTGGACACCCATAACCTTCTCGCACCGCGTGCCCCGCGCGGTGGCCCGTAGGGGGTGTCCAGTGTCACCTGGTGCTGGAAGAGCCTGGTAGGCATGGGGGCCGCTCACCTTCGGTGAGTCGGTGCTGCACGTCGTGCAGCACATGTGAGGCTGGCGCCTCTCTCCTTACCACTTCTTTTTTCTATTATTTTTCCTCCCTCGCCCCGTCGGTCGGTTGGCGTCCGCTGTAGCTCCTAGCAGACGCGGGGGGGTGGCGCGTTGGCCGCCCCCCACTGGTAGATGCGTGAGAGACTTCATCTTGCGATGGGACTCTGTTGAGGGGGAGAGGGGGGAGGAGGAGGAGGAGGAGGAGGAGGAGGAGGAGGAGGAGGAGGAGGAGGAGGATCAGGAGCAGGAGCAGAGCAGGAGGGAGGAGGAGGAGGAGGAGGAGGGAGGAGGAGGAGGAGGAGGAGGAGGAGGAGGAGGGGGAGGGGAGGGGGGGAGGGGGAGGGGGGGGAGGGGGAGGGGGAGGGAGAGGGAGAGGGGGAGGGGGAGGGGGAGGGGGGAGGAGGAGGAGGAGGAGGAGGAGGAGGAGGAGGAGGAGGAGGAGGAGAGGAGGAGGAGGAGGAGGAGGAGGAGGAGGAGCCCTGGCTCAGGCGTCTGCCTGAGGAGGGGCCATTCGCTGGCACTTGCGAGCCGCTGTCCCCCCCCTTGCCCCCCGCGCCGCCATGGTCTCAGCAGCCAGGCTCCATTGGATCATCCAGGAGCTAGCGAATGGCCGCCAAGGTGTTGTCAAACTGTGCAGCCACAGCGACAAGCTGATCATGCAGATCTGCCTGTTCCCCGCCTGGGAGCCGACTATGCGGAACAGCCTCATGATAAGTTTGCTCCACATGGTGCAGCTGGACATCGACAGCGCTAATATCGTGGACCACGGGCACAAGAACTCCAAAGGCGAGTCCCACATCCGTCTTGTCGTGAAGTCCCTTCCGGTTTTCTTCGGAGGCTTCTCTGATACGCTGCCGGGCATGCGTTATGCGGTGCGGGAGAGCTCCGAGCGCCAGACGCACGCCGAGTCCATCGGGCCGGTCCTGGCGCACGAGAAGGATGAGTCGTCCAGCGAGCAGCTTCCTGGTGAAGGTGGCGCGGCTGGCTCGGGCTCTGTGGCGACGGGGAGCGAACCCTGTACCAAGGCGGAGACTGATATTGATGTGGTGAGGCCCCAGCGGCACGGAAAGGCCATTGTTCCTCAGCAGCGCGGCGAGAAGCACACATTCGTTCCAGGCATGGCCGCGCGCCCTGCTGGCCTCAAGGCTAGGCCGCTGCTAAATGGTCGTGAAGGCACCCTGAGCTTCTACGACGACGCTGCTGACCGCTGTGCCTTTAAGACTGGTGCGGAGGCCATTCGTGTCGAGGCATCTTGTCTCGAGCCTATCGGCTCCCATGCGAAAAAGTCTCCCGGCGTGGCGTTCCAAAAGGCCGCTTTCGAGTGCCAACATGTGGACCCAGTTGCTAACGACCAGGTGTTCCAGATATTGTACGACCCCGCTGCTCAAGAAGGGCAGCCGGGGGTGGCCGCTGTCTTCCTACCGTTGCTCAGCGACAAGGCAGCCTTCGACAAGACGCACTGCCACACGGCCGCCAGGAGTCCTAAGATCGCCTACCAGTGAGTGGCGCTTAGCTGCATTCTTGGTGCGCCTAGTGCATCCATTCTTGTGCCCCATATACGCCATTCCTTGCGCCCCACGTCGTCCGTTGGGTTGCGCTTCTCGTCATGGCTGCTGGCGCCCCCATGTATGTTGGGGTTGCGCTTCCCGTCTAAGGTCCTTGTTTCATGTGCTACTCGTTCCTTCGGGCGAGTGCAGCGTTGCCAGGTCTTGCGGGCGAGATTCGGATGTGCCTCTCGTGCACGTTGCTGCTCTCCTCGTCCCCCGCTATACTTGCCGCCATTCTCACCGCTGACGTATGCATGTGTGGACACCTCAGACGTTGGTCCTCAGGGCTGTGGGAAGAAGAAGGAGGAGGAGGAGGAGGAGGAGGAGGAGGAGGAGGAGGGGGAGGGGGAGGGGGAGGGGGAGGGGGAGGGGGAAGGGGGAAGGGGGTGGGGGAGGAGGAGGAAGAGGAGGAGCAGGAGGAGGAGGCGGGAGGAGGAGGAGGAGGAGGAGGAGGAGGTCCTGGGAGGCACGGCGGAGTACAGGGCAGCGCAGTTCATGTGATACCTCGCGGCTCTCTCGGGGGTTACGAACTGCGCAACCGTTGCCACGTTCGCGGGCTCCTGAGACGCGCGGCTGAGTGCAGGGCAGCACAGATCATGTAAGACCCCTCGGCTCCTTCGGGGGTTAAATTGTGCAGCCGTCGTCATTTTCGTTGGCTCCAGGGAGGCGCGGCGGAAAGCAGGGCAGCGCAGTTCATGTGAGACCTCGCGGTTCCGTCTCCGTCGCCACGTTCGTGGGCTCCTGGGAGGCACGGCGGAGGCAGCGCAGTTCATTTGAGCCTTCGCCGCTCCCTTGGAAGCTGCGAACTGCGGAACCGTCGCCACTTTCGCAGGCCTCTTGGGAGGCACGGCGGGGTGCCGGGCATCGCAGATCATTTAAGACCTCGCGTCTCCCTCGGGTGCTGCGAACTGCGCAGCCGTCGCCATTTTCGTGGGTTCCTGGGAGGCACGGTGGAGCGCAGGGCGCCCACATGGCGCATGCCCACCTGGCGAGTGGCGCCGTCCCGTCTTTTAGTGCGCGGCGCTGCTGCATCACAAAGCGCAGAGCACTGGATGTTTTCTCGTGTGTGGAGCGATCGTACAAATTGTCGCCTCGCGTCGGGGAGGCGTTGGGTACGTCTCGGGTACGGTCGGACCGATGTATAAGATCGAGGTCGGTTCGGGCAGGGTCTCTAGTGCTCTTCGTGTTTGTTGGATGTGCTTGTGCATCTCGAGGGAGGGTAACCGCGAATCTTGCTGAGTTTGGCCCGCGGAGGGTCTCATGTTATTGATGGAAGTTCTTCTGTCCCAGGTCCGGCCGCAAGAGGAACCGGCACAAACATGCATGTCCGAAGGTACGCGCAGGTTTCTTCGGCCGGCGCTGCCCCCCCTCTGGCAGCAAGTCCAGCGCCGCCCCTGGCACGTTACGCGCGCCAGGGAGGGGGATCCATTGCCGATCCAATGAATTCGCGCAGACATCAGAAAGCCTCATGTGTTGAGATGTCTGTTCCTGTTATATCTAGTCCTGACTTCTGAAGACACCCAGTTGAAGACTATGTCGATGTCGTTCGAGTACTATGTTACGAGTTCGATTGGGACGACGATGGCGAAGACGCTCTCTGTGACCGACCGACGACTTGTGGAGGGCAGAGAGCTAGTTCTTCGCTTTCTGCACCGGCCGAGCCAGGCACGTGGAATGCTACAGTTTGGTTGAGGGCCTGGACGGGATGTCGAAATCAGTGCAAGGCAGGGGTGGCAAACCGCTATCCCAAGGTCCATATCGATCCGCTTGACCCGATTCGATCTTGATTCCGCCCGGCCCGATCTGATCCGATACGGATACGTATTCCGACGATCCGATGCGACCAGATGCTTGCATGGCGCTGTAGTGCACCCTGGCGCAGCCGATCGGATTTGATCTCGACTCCGATCCGACGCGCATCTCGATCTGCTTCGGTTCCCGACTTCAATGCTGACTGATTCTGCGATCCCACGAGATTGCCAATCGAGAGCTCCATTCCTGGTGGAATCTGCTCTTCTCCACGTGCTGGGCTGTTGAGGCCCCGTTTTCAAGGACCACAGGGGCCACTTCAGGAATCCAGTCCAGCTGCCCTCCGACTGGACCCAAGGAAGAGGAGGAGGAGGACGAGGAAGACGTGGACGAGGATGAGCTCCGCGCGCGTGCCACTTGACGAGAGCGAGCGAGCGAGAGGACGGCAGGTCTCTTTCCATGCTGGATCCGGTACGACGGGGGCGAATGGGGTTGTCTGGGAACAAGAAGAGCAGCAGAACCCCACTTTGTCAAGCGCCTGCGCGGATTTCTTGGATCTGCGCCGTGCCCCTTTGGCGGCGCGCGCCAGGGAGGGGGAGCAGCCCAGATCCTGGACATCCGCGCCGACCTCGAAAGTTTATGTTCATATAGTCGCTTGTTATCAGTTGCCTGGTTTCCAGTGCAGGTCTTCGCCCTGCCGGCGTGGTAGGCGCTCGCAGTCGCAACCTTCACGCTTCTCGCCGTCACGCGTGTCGCCTGCGCCGTGCCACTGGCAGAGGCACGCGCCTGGCGGCCTGGTGGATCCAACGGAGGCCGACGAATCACCGCTCCGCTCGATGAATGCCGTGTTGTTACATCTGGTCTTGCCTTATTTGCCCAATGCAGGGCGATGAATGTGGATGAGCTCGTCATCGCCAAGGAGACGGGGGAACACGGGTGATGCTCAAAGAGGAAGGGCAGTGCAGTGCAAGGGTAGTTAGTGGCTAAGCACAGTCGAGAAAGGCGGAGTGACATTGGTCAAGGAGACTCCACGGCATCGTGCGATGAGAGCGGCAGTTGATGAGAAGAGATGGTGGTTACGATTTGAGTAGTGGTATCAAGACATGTCCACACACATGCTTCCTTCCCGTGGAACCGCAATCGCTCAAGAGTTGGAAACGTGGGCTTGGTTTTCTTCTGCCCAGGCTGATCCAGGTTCTTCTGCGCAGGAGGTTCTGGTGCAGTGCCCTCAGAACCTTTCAACAGCAATACGCGCTTGAATCTAGATGATGCCCTTCTCGTGGAGGCGTGTTATGGTTAATGATATTGATGCGCGCAGCGTTGCCAGCATCATGAGAGAGTCTCAGAGCAAGTCTAGGTGAGAACATGCTCATGCATGCATGTTAGCGAGTATTGCAACACACCCCTGTCACTTTTGGTCGACGCCTCTCTGCTTCAGAGCAGACTTGCTCAACCAGGGTCTCCGGAGGTGTTTCGCATAGCAGACGAGCTCTGACAACGCTGAGGCCAGCTAGGATTGCCACGCTGGTGATCGTCGCCGGCCCGTGCTCTTGTTGGCTCGCAGTCCGTCTCTTGGGCGGGCTGGGTCGTGATTGCTCTTGCGATCGCCCGCGGCGCTCCCTACTCCAGGCCAGGTCCCTCCATACTCTCACAGACGTCTCAGTACAGCCGAGACACTGCAGTCTCAACACCACTCTGGGTTCAGGAGGGGGGGGGCCAGTCATCGGGCCGCTCCGTGGGTCCATGTCGTGGTCACTGCTGGCGGCCGAGGCTCGCAGTGGCCCGAGAAGCCCCGTCGTTCTTTGTCCATCGTTCCTTATGGTCGGAAACCGGAACATGTACATTGCCAGTTGCGGGCTGTTTTTCAATCCCCGGATTTTTTTGAGGGTCGGGGACGACGCTGGGTTGGTGTGGTGTATACTTTTTTCCCCGATGTTCTGGGGAAGCAGCGAAACATGTATACACCAGGGTCTCGTGTACACCAGGATCCGCTCTCCAGCGCAAGTTTCAATGCAGGGCTAGAAAAAGCGTCGGCGTGTAGAGTTCGATTCCCTATGTGGTAGCACGATGGCTGTACTATTCTTCGTTGCTGGTGATCAGATGTTGTCAGCAACAGTCATACCGTCATGTTCGATTGGAGTGCCGCTCATTGCGCCTTCATGCCATAGGCAAGAGTGCTCTGAACGCCAGCTTACCATATTCACACTGTGTGCATCCCTTGCTCGTGTTCATGCAATTCACCTGGTGGCCTTCATCCGATTGCCCTCTTAACATTTACTCATCTGGAGGGCTTCTTACCCATGATGGAACCTCCGCGCTGAGTCGCGATATGCAGCCTGCATGAAAGCACTAATGTCGCCTCCACTCCAATTACACTGCATGCTGCCAACATGTAGATTTTGAGCTGCTGCTTTTTTAGTGTGGTCTGCTCTGGCAGGTTGCATGCGCCAGGGAGAATGCAAAGTTACCGTGTTCCAAGACTGCGGCCTCCCCAGGTGCCTAAAAAAGGTGTTAGGCGATGGGTACTCCAAATCCCTTGTTAATCGTCCCCCGGGTCTGGTTGTTTAAGGAGCCTTTTTTGTAACTGAGGGGGTCCGTTTTATTAGGGCGCTTTCTTTGGATTGGAGCTTAGGTGGTCCGGTTTTATTAAGGCGCCCCGTCGAAGAGGGGGGTCCAGAATATCAGGTCGCATTTGGAGTGGGGCCCGATTTTTCTGGGGGATCGAACAATAAGGGATTTGGAGTAATAGCTCGTGGGCTACGAAATACTATGAGTCGCGGGAGCAAGCGCTCGACCGCGACCACACGCATGTGGGTGCTGGCCACCCGTTCTGCCTGGCTACCTGTGCATCGGGATGGCTACCTTCGTCCATTGCCGGGATCTGTTCGTCGTGATGGCACGTCGTTTGCGTCGCCGCGCGCTTGCTTTCCTGCATGACATCCTCGTGGCGCCAACCCAGGCGATCGACTCGTTACGTCTGGGCTTCTCTGGGGTAAGACACATAGTGCACATTTATGGGCGCGGATTGTGATCATACCTTGTTGGTACGGTTTTTCGTGTTCTCTCTCTCTCTCTCTGTCTCTTTTTTTTGTTCTCTCTCTCTCTCTCTGTCTCTCTCTCTCTCTCTCTCTCTTACCCCTCCTGCCTCTCGCTCACCGTCCTGCTCCCCCCCCATCCCTGTCCATCCCTGCTCTCCCTCCTAGACCCCGTGGAGCCCATGTGTTCATCCGTGGTCGCGAAGGGCACAGCGCTATCATAATTGAGCTTAGCTTCCAGAAGTGGATGTAGCTTCCCCCTTTTTTGAAATCGTTGAAGCCAGATCCCAGGCATCCGACTGTTTGTGTATACCTCTTGACTCTTGACCGCTTCCTCGGGATTGGCCTTTCGCTCAGGACTTGTGGTTCGTTGCCCTGGGGGCTGGAAGCAGACGGAGATGCCGACAAACATGACAGGCACAATATGGATGTTTGATAACGCCGGAGGTATTGGAATGGGGCCTGCACAACTACACATTATCAGTACAACTTCTCTCTCCCTTGACTCTGCCAGGAAGATGTTCGGCCCTCTCGGCGTATTCTTTTTCCTCAAGGGTTTCTCACATTGATGTTTCATCCTGCGTTGTTCCATCCTCTACTCTTCTGCATTTTGCAAATAGTGTTCCCACTGGAGCGTGGGCCTTATTCTCGGATCGGCGCTTTGCTCCCGTCGTTCATTGCGATCTCGTCTCAGCGTGGGCCACGTTTTTATATCCGAGTCTTTTTCATAGTTGTCGCCCCCTCTCATTTCTCCTCCTCCGCCTTCCCCTGGTTCTCCTGTTCATGCCGCTCCTGCCACTGGAGCTCCTGCTGTTGCTGCTGTTCGTCCTCGTCCTCCACATTCCTCATTCTCCTCCTTTTCCTCCTGCTCGTTCTTCTGCTCAGCCGCCACCTCCTCATCCGGTGGACGTATGTCAGTGTACCTCGCTGACACGATTAGGGCCCTCTTTGGAGTTCTAGGTCCGCGATGCCTCGCGTCGGTGAACAGAACAACTGCAGTGCAGCGGGAAGGGATGAGTGTGGGGGGGGGGGGGCGTGGGATGTCAGATCCGGCGCGAGCGCCACTGTCTAGGGCTCCTCCCCTCTCCGCTCCCCCCCGCGTCCCCCCCGCCTCCCTCCCCGTTGCGGAGCCCCCCCCTCCCCCCACCCGTCCCTCGGGGGGGTGGGGTGCGCCATGCGGGGAGGGCCACGCAGAGCACATGCCCAACACTTTTTTGTTGTTGCCTTGCTTCCGAAGGCGTCCTGTTGCTTCGTCCCATGTCCCTCCTCCACCCAGAGTCCCATCCCCTTCACTCTTCCCCGTCCGCCCTCCTCCTCCCGCATCCCAGACTTCGGCTCGACGTTTGCTCGAGTCGGCGGCCACCGGATTTCCCAGGGGCTTCCCTGACACTGACGCTTCCCCGAAGTGGCTCAACGATCCATTTCAAATCTCGACATGTCGTCTACACGGTGACCAGCGCTGCGCCCCAGGTCGATATTTGATGGCCTGGGGGGCTGAACCGAGGAAGCAGCGGCTGCGGGGGGCGTGAAATCGAGCCAGCGCAGCGACATCTCCCGGATTTCCTTCCCCCCTCCTGCCTCTTTCGGCCCGCCCCCGGGCCACCCCCCCCCGCCGCCTCCGCACAGGGGCCCTCGGGCCTTCGAGGCGCGCGCCCCCCCTCTCTGCCCGGCCGCCCGCCTCCGCGCAGCCGCGGCTGCTGGGAGCGGGGGAGGGGGAGGCAGCAGGCGCCCCGCCCTTGCCTCCTCCTCCTCCTCCTCCTCCTCCTCCTCCTCCTCCTCCTCCTTCTCCTCCTCCTCCTCCTCCTCCTCCTCCTCCTCCTCCTCCTCCTCCTCTTCCTCCGTTGCCATTTTGGCTCAAGATCGGGACAGGCCCGTTTTGAGTGAGGCAGCCCTTCTTCCAGGGCCATCCAGCTGTCAAAGGCTGGCGGACACTTACGTTTTCTGTGCTTCTGATGGCAGATGCGGTCCCAGCTGGGCCTGCCAGTACCCAGGAGCGCCAGATTCTTGCCGAGTTCGAATCCGTGGCCACCTTCCCCGACAGCGAGCGCACTGGCAAGGGCAAGGGTGCGGGCCGTTTCGTGCAGCGCAAGCGGCAAGCCCTCGCGTCGGCCGACGGCGATGCTCCTGTTACTTCTCTTCTGGATGATGATGAAGACGATGGAGACTTTCTTCGGCAATTGTGCAGAGAGGAATTCGCCACCATGCGGGACACCATCACCACCGAGGTGTCCGAGTCTGTCGCCAAGACCGTCACGTCCAACCACAACACGTTACTTAAGATGCTGTCCTCCATGCAGAGCGAGGTGGCCAAGCAGTCCAGCGCCATCGAGGGCCAGGTCCAGACGGCGATCGCGCCCAGGCTCGACTCCCTCAACAGGCGCCTGCAGGCTCAGCTCGACGAGCAGAAGCGCAGCCTCTCCGCGCTTGAGGGCCGTGCTGACGCCCACGACAAGTCCATTCATGATCTTCAAGACCAGCTCGCCGAACTCCGTCGCCAGATGGCCATCGCCGAGCAGACTCCCAGGAAGCAGCTCGCTGCTCCCACGTCCTTCGACCGCGAGGAGGACACCGCGATTGTTGTTGCTGTGTCACAGCGCCCTACTACCTTGGCCTCAGTGGTCTCTTCGCTGCGCCCGTGGCTCGGCGAGATTGGCTTTGAGGACGAACAGTACGAGATCAAGCAGAAAGGCGAGTCTCCTGCCAGGAGGTTCGAGATTTGCTTCACGGGCTCGACCACCATTGCGTCGCGCCGCGCCAACAAGGCCACGTCGCTCCTCAAGGGCGCCGACGGCTGGAAGGAGTTCTGGGTCGACCCCCCTGGTGCCGAGCGCTGCCGTTTGCACCTGGGCCCCGACAAGTCGCCCAAACGTATCAAGACCGAGGTCACTCTACGCAAGGCCAGAGCGATTGTGGAGCTGCAGTACCCTGGCAAGCGCTTCTACTCCGACCGCGAGCACGGCGTCCTCTCGATCGGCTGGGACAAGATCATGCACGTCGACGTCTTCCACGGCGACACCCCGCCCAAGATCTACTGGGACTCGACGCAGCTCGCCAAGCATGCCATGGCCATCGACACCCTCCGCAATGCGGTCAAGGAGCTCACGCACCCGACCGACCCTAGCCAGTGGTGCCTTTAGCGCTGCTGGGCTATTTCAACTTCCAGCGCCGCCGCCTGGGTCCGCGGCGTCACCGTTTCGGATAGCTACCTGGAACTCTCGTGCACTTCTACAGGCTGGCGGGGACAAGGCCATTCTGAAGAGGAAGTACGTTCTCCGTCTACGTCCCCTCTCCACGGTCATCGCGCTGCAGGAGGTGCACCAGGACCACTTCCAGCTCGTCTCGTTCTTCAACTCGATCGCGTCGGGCCTCGCGATCCACTCCAGCTTCATCACAGACGCGGATGACGGGCATCGGCGTGGTGGAGTCGCTGTGGTTCTTCCGCCGCTGGCTCGTCAAGGGT